ATATATATATATATATATATAAGTTTTATCTTCCTCGAGTATACCACTTAATCAGTTTACCATATCCAATACACCACCAATGTATATATTTTTTATAACTTAGGTGGTAAGCATGTAAAAAACAACATTAAAGTCCAGCTATGTGATATATTTCAGAAGCTTAAATCAAACTGGAGATATTATGAAAACGAATTAAATTTATTAAGGAAACCTGAACCAATCTATAGTTTCTTGGTTAGTCAAGATCAAGCATAGGATTATAATCCATGATTCTAACTATCCTTTCGAACTTTAACAAAGAAAACCAATCAATCAAATGAACCAAGACTTCCATCAGATGGTGAAAATAAGAGCAGCTATGAAAACAAGCAAATCTCACAAATCCTCTGGTTAAAACAGAACAAGAAATCCATTCTTAATCCATGTCAGTTAAGCAAAAGTTAGAGGAATGAAGTTCCTCGCCATTAAATCAATAATAGAAAACAAAACTTTTTTGAACAAAAGTGCTCCATAGATCAACGGAAGAAGGGAGAGGGAGAAGAGAGCCTTACTCTCAAATAATCGGAGAGAGGGGAGAAGGATCTTTGCTCTCGAACAATCGAAAAAAGGGAGAAAGAAGAGTGTAGACTTTAGGAGAGAGTGAGGGAGGTGACGAGCGAGAGTTTGGGCTAAGTAGGGAGCCAAGCGAATCAGGAAGAAAGGTGAATCATACGCGGGGGTTGCGACCATAAGGGCTTGGTTAAAGGGGTATTTATTTATGGATCCCTTAGTTAAAATTGACGTTCCAGACGCTCTCGAGTAGTCCATTTTGGGGTCGTCTGGATGAATTTGTTGACGATTAGGCCAATTTTTGTCTGATTTTCATGCGACGCGGTGAATGAGATCCTTTGGTCTAATCGAAGTCGTTCGATGCCAACCGACCTTCGCCTAAGCGACAACCAAAATATGGTAGAACATTCTAGACAACATGCCCCTCAACATGCACTCAAGGATCTCAAATTTGTGTCATGAGAGCTTTCATTTTATTTAAATTTAATTTTGATTTTGATTAATGGATTGTATGTAAATTTTGATGTGAATGTGTGTGGTCTAAGTGTATGTTGTTTTTTTTTTTTAAGAAAAGTTAAAATCTCCAAGTTCAAAGGTCTCCTTAGGGCCTTATCAATCTTTTTGGGAAATCATCTTGAGTTTCAATGTGTTGCTCTCAATCGACTCAGCTAAGAAATGAGGATTTAAGACCATACACATGAGACTACAAGGAGTCAAGAAGTGTTTTGAATCTCTGAGTAGTGTGAGTCTCGATATTCGTCCTATAGGAGAGTCAGTAGGGAAGTCCTATTACTAGAACTTAAGCTCTAGAAAAGGAAGCAGACCTCACCATAGAAGAGGTCAACATCTACAACGGATTCCTATCCTAAGGCTTTCTCTAGGAAAACAACAACCTAGCCCTAATAATCTCTAACACAATCCTGAGGTTAGCTAAGATAAGGAAATGCAAGGGAATAAGTGTATCACTTATGCAATGTTTGATGACATCTCCAGTTGCAAAGATGAATATCTATTTAAGCACGAGAGTGGCTCTTCTTCTTCTTCTCCAAAGTGTGAGAGGAAGCTCTCCCTATGTACGAGATGGCGATTTCTTCCCTTCTCCAAAGTCGAGTAGAAGCTCTCCTTTCAGAAGGAGACATTTATCTTGCTCTTGAAATCTTATCTAAGCTCTCTCACCCTCTTCAGGAGATTGGTGGTGGAAGGGGAAGAAAAGGATAATGAAAGTAAGTTTTTGGTGGAAGAAAATGAAGGGAAGAAGAAAAGATCTCGAAACAGCCTAGGGAAGCCTCTCATTGCTAGAAAATGGAAAGGCTTCATACGATTCCTCCTTATTTTCCTTGTTCCCTTCCATAAGTTGCCTGAAAACCATGAAAAAGTTTTTCATAACGATCCTCTCTATCTAGCATCTCAGGCATGATGTGTCGGGTCTTGAAAAAGAAAAGTGGGTCGGTCGCATACTATTAACCTCATTTTTTGTGAGGAAATATTTTTTCTCTATAGAAACCTAAGATCTAGCATTAGGGTTTCCTTGTGACCTTCTTAGATGCTAAAGATGGAACTCACCCATATAGAACTTCAAACCAATTCTACGTTCATTGAGGGTTTCATGAGGATAAACCCAAATCCTCAACTATTTGTTGAGATGATGAGGGTTGAAATTGGTAAAACCCCGAGTTGAATCCCTATAGATGGAGGATACCCTAGAAAACCCATGGAGCCTAGAGTCCTGGGAACTCCTGTGATGACCTACTGACCACTCCCAAGCCCCTGTTTGATTTAGAAGAAGCCCATTAAATGCAAGGCTAGTTCTAAGTTAGAGAAGAATTTACTCTTTTGTACCAAAACCCTAAACTGAAATAATAAAATTCTAACATCAAACATTTAAATCAAAATACAATTTAGCTGTCAATGTTAGGTTTGAGCCCACCTAATGCCTACACCAAACTTAAAGAAACCCTAAGAACAAATAACCACTTAAATGCACTAAATTCAACCCTAACTTTAAAATACTCAACACCCTTAAAGGAAATTAAAATTAAACATACTTAATACAAAATTAAAATAAATTAAAATTTTAAAACATCAAACCACCAAAGATTAGTCAACTTGAGTTCATACCAAAAACACTAAGATTATCAATTTGAACTTAGATCAAACCTATTCAGAACAAATGGAATAATAAATTAAATTGATTAGTATAATTAGTTAGATTAGTTAATTCTAAAGGGGTTAAATGGTAAGCCCAACCATCCAAATACAAGTTTACCATTCAAGGCCCAACTTAAGCCCAAGCCATGTAACTCTAAGAGGCAAACCCATGACTCACATGTCTCAAATAACCCTTCAAGACAGTACAACCAAAATAAGACTCAATTAAAAGTAATTTAAACACAAAACAAACAATAAAAGACAAACCATGCTCATTTAACTAGTGAGCCACTGAGTGTTTCCCTGGTTAAACCAAGCCAAATCAAACTCAAGAGGAGTCATGGATGACCAAAACTGAGTCAAGCCACCAAATCCAAGCCTTCTCTAATTCTATCAAGCCTTAGCCATGCCTCCTCCATCACCATTAGAGCTCACCATCGTCAAAACATCAAAAATAGAGAAAGCTTCCATCTCTCTACCGAAGCTCTTGAAATCGCTATGCTTATCTTTTGAGGAGCCACAAGAGATCCCCACACAACTTAGAACTTCCCTCCATGACATCCCATGGCTATAAATAACCCCAACCTAAAAGCTCTACACACACACTAACCTCCCCAATCTACCTCCCAAACCCCTAACTCCCATAGTCAAGAGCGACCCATCCCTACCATTTCCAAGCCTCCATATAGCCCCCATTGCTCTAATTCCTCCACAAAAAATCAAGGGACATTTACAGACCCTTCCAAACTCCTAATTATGCATTCCAAAAGCTTCATAGAGGCTCAATATTCCATCCTCAATCAAAATTAGACCTTCCCGCACCCCCTACAATAACCCTAGAATAGACTGTGGCCCCATTTGGTCCATCTCATTGCTAGGACCAATTTCAATCAAAATTGAAGTAGGAGGAAGCTTCGTGGCATCAAGGCAACTATTTTTTATCAACCCCAATCGAGGCTTCACCGCTTGGGACATGCTATGGGTTCAAAACTCTAAATTAAGCCTTATTTTGGTCTTTTATGAAGAAAATGAACAATGACTTCCCACTTAACTGTATAAATAAGTTTGCATCACTTAGATGAAGCTATAGGATCAAACCTCATGTAATTTGGTTGAGTGTGGAACGAGATCTTATGATTTAAGTGCCGACAATTCTTTGTTCTTTGTCCTGTAGGGACAATGAACATATACCATCTGTCTTCGTGTATTTGAAATGGAACCGGACGGACCACATGATCAAATAAAGATAGTGGATTGTCCACCTCAGCGCACACGTGGAAAGGGAAGCGAACAACAGAGCGTTGCATGAAGTTTCAGAGTGTATGAGGGATGACATGGCGCCGACGTGTTTAAGTAGGTAATTAGGATTTTTTGAATTAATTAAATAAAAAAATGATTATAAAGTTTAAAAATTCATAACTCAATAAATAAAAATAAAAATAAAAAAATTTCATTTAAACTCAGTGAACAAAAGGTAAAATAATAAAAATAAAAAATAAAATAATTAACTTATATTTAATTTTTAATTAATAAATACTTCAAAAAGTATTTTAATTATAAAAATTAAATATAAATAAGAAAAATATAAAATTTTCAGGGATTATTCCCTCTATCATTAGAGATTTTCAATGATTTTTTTTTTTAAAGTCAGAGGACCTCCCTAAACAAAAATGTTTAATTTCCTATCAAAATCATAATTTGTTTGAAAAATAATTATAAAAAATAAAATAAAAATTAGACAAATATTAATTAAAATAGAAATTAAAAATAAAATTAGGACAACAACTCTAAGCATTAAAATGATCATTTTCACCTCTGAAAATTTAAAAATGAAATTAAAACCTTAGGGGTAAGATAATAAATTATAAACATTGCATTCTGGCCAAAGTTGTTTCTTAAATATAAATTAAACAAAAAAATTAACTTAGAAAATCTTAGGATTACATCCTAATGAAAGCATTAAGAAATTTAATTTCATAATTATCCCCTTAATTATGAAATTACCTTAATAATTAAATCTTAAACTTAATTTAGGTCTAATCAAACTTAGACCAGACTTTAAAAAAAAATTAAAATTTAAATTAAGTTTAGTTAAACTTATACTTATCTTTAACTTGGGCCTAACCTAAATTAGACCTAACTCAACTCAAACTTTAATTTAGCTTGGGTCTAACCTGATCTAGACCAAACTTAACTCAAACTTTAATTAAGTTTGGGACTACCATAACTTAGACCTAACTCAACTAAAACTTTAATCTTAACACTGGTCTAACCCAACTTAAACTCGACTAACCAGATTTTAAGCTTCACCTAACTCAACCCAATTTTAATCTTAACTCAAGCCTGACTCACTTAGACTTGAATTAACTAAATCCTAAGCTTCACCTTAAACTTAACATAGGTCTAACCCGACTTAGAACTTACCCAAAAACCCAACTTTAAACTCAATATAAGTCTCAACCAAATGAACCAAAATCTAAGCTTAATTCAAGTTTAAATTAACTTAGACTTGACTTAACCAAATTTTAAACTTAACTCAGACCCGACTCAACTCAAAGTAAACTTAAACAAAACTGGTTAACCCGACCTAACCTAGGCTAACCCAAATCAAACTTAAGCAAACCTGGGTCAGCCCGGCCTAAATTAGGCTAATCCAAATCAAACTTAAGTAAAGCTGGGCTAACCCAATTTGAAAGAGTATTTTGATCAGTTGCTATTTGGAGCTCTTTCCCTTTATGTCATGAGCCGAGTGGTTATATTAGCAAGAAAATTTTGCTTAACTACATAAAATGATGATAGAATAAATTTTAGGTGGAGGTCTTGTATTGTGTCAGCCATATGGTAAAGGCTGAGCTAGTTTTCCCGACTGGGTTAATCTTGAGAAGTTCTCTATGTTGGTGACCAACTCTGAATTAGAGGAAGAGAAGGCCCACCAAGGTAATGGAAGTGGATGGGATGATATCAAATCTACGAATGTATAGAGTGACCATATCGTTTCCTATAAAAAGATTTTTTTTTTTCAGTTGAGCACTTTTATTAACCATTTTTTGTTAAGTTATAAACGAAAGAATTGAATGAGTATTTTGATCGGTTGCTCCTTGGAGTTCTTTCCTTCTCCCTTTTTTTTATGTACCTGAGTTGAGTTGTTATCATGGCAAGAGAAGTCTGCTTAATTGCATAAAATGAAGGTCAAATAATAGGTGAACTGAGATTGTGAATTTGTGATGTCAAGATGGCTTATAGGATCAAAATGCTATTTTATTGGGAGAGTATCGTAGAGTTGGGCAGTTAAATAGGATTGAAGAGAGCTCATGACTTAATTATTATGCTTTTGCCTAGCCCAAGTCTTATGATACCCTGTCTCAACCGTTTGGTTAAGTCATCTCCTTAGACGGGCCACACCTTACGCTTGACATATTAAGTAAACCTTGTCATAGTCTTCACGAGGGGAACTATCTAGAATCACTAATGGGGTTATTTGTGTTTCACCCATTGTGGATCTTATGGCAAGTGAGAAGGCAATCGAGCCACCAAAGCTTTGACCTATGTTATGGGGCAAGTGACATTAAAATTTTATGTTGCATGGGTGTTGTGGGTCGAATAGTTAAGTGAATCCTCCGCTCGGACGAAAAGCGTCATTGACAGATGGATTTTATCCATGCAAGTGAATGCACCATTAGTGAGTGAATTTGGCAGTTGAAGCTTTTTTGAACGAGTTTCCCGAGTGTCGACTGGGTTCAATCATCTTTTATGAGTGAACTCCATCCAATGTTTTCCGAATTTTGGTTGGACCTAAAAGCAAGCTTAAGATTAGTAGTTTTATCCTGAATGATAAAATTGATATTATTTTAAATTGTCGGGCTATAGTTATTTCAGTTACCTCCTCACCTTGTGGATAATCAAATTTAGCAGAAATTTCAAGAATGTAGAGAAGTGATTCTCCATCTTTCAGTCTGATAGAGTAAAAAAATATGAAAATTAAAGCAGCCATTATTTCTATGATTTCAGAGTTATATAACTTATGGGTAAAATATTTTATGGTTGTCTCCACTACATGAGCAAGTTATTTCTTTCCTCGTATGTGTGTTTAATTTGAAAGCTCTGGGAGTAACTCATTTTGCTAACGATGACTGACCCAATTCATGTATAATTAAGATTTTCTCATTGCTTTCCTGCATGTTTTCTGGTTGACTTTCTTCAATATGAGTTAACTTGTAGTAAATTTCTTTCCTTACATGTTGGTTATAGTATTGTACTATCCTCCTTTTTATCTCCTCTAACATGAGAGCCGAGTCGGCTCACTTTTTTTCCAACAAGTCAAACGTGTCTTCCAGTTCTTATTCTTTTCTTATTATGCAACCATATTTGCCTCATCGTGTGTAGAGTCTATGGCCACTCTTTGGTTGTGAGGGTTGAATTCGACCAGCAATACTGCTTCCATTATGTGTGACAACATAAATGATGTCTATTCAATCGCGTTGGAAGGGATCGTATAGATTGCCTATAAGACAGATGTTTGGAGCTCAACCCGATTTCCCTTTGACCTTCTTTCTTAACAAGTTTAATATGATTTTATTTGTAGCTTCGGCTTATCCATCCGTTTGTGGGCAATGGATGGATAAACTTCAAGTTAATTTTTTGGCTATGGCAAAAGTCTTTCACCTCTTGGTCGACGAACAACATTCTATTATTAATGATGATAACGAGTGAGTGACAGGTCATACCTACATATTATATCAGTCTAAATGAAATTTCAAATAACATTGGACGTTGATCCTATGGAGTCCATTCGCTTTAATCCATTTGAAGAATTAATCTACCATGAAAGAACTTTCCCTATCTGCATTACAGAGGAAACACTCCAAGAATATCGAGTCTCCATACAACAAATGGTCATAGGTTTAGGTGATAATTGATCTTAATTGCATCGAAGTGTAACCATAGGATCTGAAGGATTGGCCCCTTCTTCGGGCTTGATTGCATCGAAGTGTTAGGTTTAGGAGATCATTTGTCTTATGACTCAGTAAACCACTTGACTAGTGCCACATACTTACCATTATAACAATTAGCTTTGAGTTCGGTTCATCTGATTCAGCGTCTTGGTCCCCCGAAACTTCCTCTCGGTGACTCTACCCTTTGATATCCCTTATCTCATGGTTCGTCGAATCTCCTTTGAAATTCGTGCTAGCATAGTTTATGTGTACAAACATTGATAACATCATTCATATTTTAAAAGATGCTACCATTATTATCCTTACCATCCTCCAAATAAGAAAATCAATTCTTAATTCTTTACAAACTCATCTCCCTAAATCATCATAAAACACAAACTCATAGTCCACCACCTCAACATTTCATCAAAACATGCCCAAATTAAACCATTAAGAAAAAAATTACAAAAGAGGCTTCTACCCTACCCTTCAGAAATTATGCTGCAAAAATAGCTCTTCATGAGGAGAAGCAGGCCCAATCTCCTCCTCCAAACACCTCAAACTCCTCCCTTCTCCATTCTTCACCGCCTCCACATCTCCTTCCGACACCGACGACTTCCTCCTCTGCGAAGAAGTCACACTCGGAAACGTAATCCACGAGGGAGCTCTGTATTCAATCCTCTGGTCTTCCCCCTCCATCATCTCCGTCTCCGAGCACGACTGCGTCGAAGACCTCTGCGAGGCCTTCTTGTGCAGTCTGTTGCTTCCCAGCACCACCTCCGTCGGCAATATCGGCTGCTCATTGCACGGACTCCCCATTAACAGAGCCAAAGCTCTCTCCAACACTGTCGTCACCTTATCCATTGAAGGTCTATCCTTTCCTCTCATCCTCACACATTTACATGCAAAAATCGCAATTTTCTTCAGCGCCTCCTCTTCAGCTGGAGGTTTCAGAACTGGATCTAATATGGCTGTGATATTCTCAGATTTAATCAGCGGAACCGCCCATTCAACAATGTTACCTTCTTCAAATCTCATGTCGATCGCCTTTCGGCCGCTGAGAAGCTCAAGCAGAAGAACACCAAAGCTGTAAACATCAGATTTGGTCGTGAGGTAGTGAAGCCTGTAGTACTCAGGATCCAAGTAGCCCAGCGTTCCAGCAGGAAGCTCTGATAATGGACTTCTGCTATCTGTTGGACCGAGAAGGGACAGGCCGAAATCAGAGACACGAGCATTGTGTTCTTCGTCGATTAAAATATTTGAAGATTTGATGTCTCTGTGAATGACTGGAGGGCAGGCATAGCCATGCAGGTATTCGATTCCTCTTGCAGCTTGGACGGCAATGGTGACCCTTTTGACCCAATCTAATCTCTCCTTCAACCCCGGTTCGTTTCCATGGAGATGCTGATACAGAGAGCCGTGAGCCATGAACTCATAAACCAGAAGCATTTCACCTCCTTCCTCGCAGTAGCCCAGTAGGTTGAGCAAATGCGCGTGGTTCAGCCTCGAAAGCAGGTCGAGTTCGGTGTGAAATTCTTTGGAGTTTTTCTTCAGATCTGAAGCTCTTATAGCTCTCTTTACTGCAACAACAGTTCCATCTTTCAGAACTCCTTTGAACACGCAGGAAAAACTCCCCTTTCCAACCTGAGATTCTTCGCAGAATCCTCCCGTGGCCTTCTCCAATTCCTCAAAGGTGAACATCTGCGCGCGATGAATCTTCAGGTCCTCCAGGTCAGGCTGGATCTTCACCAGCTCCTTTTGGAATGAACAAGGTCGATTTTTTGAGGTCTTCAATTCATTAGCTCCACATTTACATCTCTGTAACTTATATCGAACGTAGAGGAAAGCCACCAAGGTAACAGAGCTCACCAACACGACTCCAAAGACCAGTTCTGAGATAAAAATTGGAATTTGAAGAGAAGACATGTTTGGGGATGTCGATCTCTTCTGCAAGCAGAATGAGGAGCATTCATTAGACACACAATGGGTGCAATTGAACTCACATCTTCTATCCAAAGTCGCATTACAGGAGCTTAAAAGATAAGTCTCCTCAGGGCAGCCATTGCTGCATGGCAAGCAGACTCTAGAGTTCACTGGTCTGCAGAACTTATTAGGCAAGCTCAGATGGGTGAACTCGAAGAATCCGGGGCCGCAAGGATTCGAATTGCAGATCCCCGGCGAGGCGGCCATTGGAATCGACCACGGACCACCTGTTCCCCAGCAGAGCGGAGCAAGAGAAGAATCCGCAAGCACACCACAAGTGAAATAATCCCCTGCAGCAATCTCATACAATTTGGTACTTTTTGGTGGCGGAACGCCGCTCTGAAGCCAAAATCCCCAGCAGAGAACCATGTGATCCACACTCTTAATCCCACAGGCATGAAATCTTCCACCGACGACCGAAAGCATTGGATCGACGGGCGCTAAATCCACATCTCCCTGCACTGCTAAGCTCCTGCCCCAACAGAAAACACGAGAATTCTCTAAAATCCCACAAACATGAAAACCGCCTGCTGAAATGGATCGATACCTCAGATTCTTTGGAGTTAGACTGATAATGTTGCTTCCTGTCTCATCTCCCCAGCAGAATGCAGTTCTGTTTCGAACAAGTAAGGCACAGTTGAACAAAGAACCAGCTGTTAGGGATGTAACTTCACCATCGAAGTTCAGAGAAGCAGTCATGTTATAGCCCCAGCAATCAATCAATGAACTGCTGCTTTGAAATCTTCTGTGCTGTTTTCGAACTCCACAGAGATGGTGATCGCCTGCACTGATTTCAGAGTAAGCGGCGCCTTCCTCCATTGGCTGAGGAACTCCCATCTGTACATAGAAGTTATTTCCCCAGCAATAGGGCTGGCTTGAATCCAACAGAAGCCCACAGACAAAGCTATCACCAGCTGTGAGGGAAAGCATGGGAAGCCTGGAGGGGGCACCATAGACAATTGAAGCATCAGTGCCGAAACAGCGAACAAGGTGAGAGCCATCAGGTACCAGAGCGCAAAAAACGGGGCCATTCTCTCCGTAGGAGACGGCAATGGAGGACATTGAACCGAGGGCGGAGATCCCTATAGTTAGAAATGCAGCTGAGAGCGAAAAGGCAAAAGCTTGAGTGAGTAATCTGTTTCTTATTGAGTCCATTGCGTGTACCGGGAGATTGAAATGATTTCCAAGATGAGATTTTTTTTCGGTTCTTCTCTCTTTTCTTCCTCTAGGTTAGCAAAGTTATCAAGAGTTGCAGGACAAATTCCATAACTTCGCGTTCAAATATTCTTTATCCGCGTGCTGAGACTACTGAAAGGAAGCAAAGATGAAGAGCCCATACCAGGAAGAAGGAAAAAGCTCATCCTTTTCTTCAAGCCACTCGCTCCCCAGCTGCAAAGAAGCCAGTTCTGAGCTGCAAAGGGCATGGCTCACAGAAGAACGGAGGAGAGAGAGAGAGAGAGATGGCCATTGAAGAGCATTAAATGGACTTCCTGGTTGTAGGTGAGGACTGTAAATGCGAAATAAATACGTGGTGCTTTATGCCTGGATCTCCTCACACTTCTCAATAAATTTGAATTTTTATAAATCAATTTTTCCTTTTTTTTATTGCCTTCGGTGGATTATTTTAAATGATAGTTTATCCCAAGAATTCTGTAGAGATTCAACTTATTCAACTGCCAATTTGTTTAATCATTAATCATTATTACATCTATCTTTATAACCGCGGTTCATGGAGGTTCATTTGACTCTCCAAGAAACCTACACTAATTTGTAAGCTAAGTTATTAAATACTTTGAGTATGTATATTTCAAATAAAAGTCCATTAACTCTCAACAAGTGTATATTCCAACATATTTTATTTGATGGTTTCAGCCAAATAAATTTATTTCTACCTTTTCATTTGTTTTTTTTTTTGTGGCATGTGAGTATTTTAAGAACTTAATGATCAATACCATCCTTAATAAATGTTTATCCATTATCATTAAGTTTTTATTGGTCTATTATACCATAATCAGTATTATCTAACCACCATCACTCGATCATTCTTATTTGATGAAATCCTCTATAACTTTTGGCATAGTCACAAGAGCCAAACAAATATTCAAATTTTTTTTAGTAGGGCTTCATTATCTACATAAAACGAGATAAAATTAAAGAAAATTTGAAGATTTAAAGAATTCTAAAGCATTCTCTGGAAAAAAAAAAATGTTGATGTCCACCATTGATAATTATTATTATCCAACACCTTATATTTAGCTATTATTACTCATTGGTCATTATTCAATAACAATTGTTCAACTATCGTATCTTGATCATCATCATCCTACTATCATCACCTTATCATTATTGTCTGCTCATTGTTATCATCTCCATAATTTTTACCACTATCTGATGATACCAAACAAGTACTTCTAATTTTGTAATCATATCTTATTTAATTATGGGGAGAGTAAATTTTGTAATCTCATGTACATAATTGAGTATTTTAATTGGGTCGTACATTATATTTTATTCTCTTTTTAAGATTTTCATATAGAAACTATATTCCATTTGGCTTGACCTTAGTAAACCATGATCCAAAGTGTTTCTACAATGCATTACAATAACTTAGAATCAATGCTAAAGCCAATTTGGATCATTGGATTTTAATTTAGATTTAATTAAGTTGGAGTATATATTTAAAATATTATTTAACAAATAGTCAAATAGTTTGATCAAACCTCTTTAATCCATAAGGAAGATTCAATAGGTATTAAATGTATTCTTTAATGGGTCTTAAGGCCGTGAGAGGTTTGATGTTGGCTATAAGAATGTGTAATATATAAGGCTTGAATAAGGTTCATCCCTTTAAAGGTATTGAACTTGAATCAACTTATGGTTTGATAAAAAAAGATTCAATGTCTATCGATGGTTAATACAGAGTGTCTGAAAGTCATGGATTTGGGCCTTAGGTTTTATATTTTTAGAAAATTTAAACTTAATCTTAGCATATTCCAAAAGAATTTGCAAGGGTTGAAAAGGGTTTTAAAAAAAAAATTTAAACGGTACCTTCTAGCCTATAAGGTCTAAGGGTCCAATTTTGGGAGCATTGAAAAGGGATTTATTATAAGGGCAAGGCACCACCTGAGCTAAACTAAGATCAATCAATTATATAAAGCCCAAAGGCTCTAAGTCACCTAAATGCTTTGTTTTGATGTTAATAACTCTAATAGCTTGCTTTGAATTAAATGAACCTAAATTTGTTGCTCTAAATTTATGTCTTCGGCTAAAGATAATGAGCTTATTTCAATACCAATAAATTTTATGAATACATCCTACACTAATATAGTTCAAGGCTTTCTAAATGTTATCATCTTGGCTAAGGATTTCTCAATTTTATTTCAAGGATTATAATAAGATTAGGATAAACATGGGTAGCACCTTGAGAAGGCTAAAACATCCTAGTTCAATATATATATAGCCTTTTAATATTTTTCTTAATAAGACAATATATATATATATATATATATATGTATCATATCATATCATATAGTTCTTGGGGAATAAAAAGATGCATTTCACTTTAAATGAGTTAATTGTGTTGATATGTTTAATGTTATGTTAAATATTTAAGTGATATATATTGAGGTATGGAGCTTGAAGTAGCACCCACATCGGAATTGATGCCCCAATGCCCCAAAATAGAAACTTCAGTGTGGTGTACCCATACTCATCCAAAACTTTTTTATAGTTAAATAACCACACCCAGAACGACGTACCTATGCCACAATTTCTATAATTCCAAGCTCCGGAACATAGTGAATGGCCTAATTATGCCAAGAATGGTTTTCTCCCAATTCAATGTTTAAGCCATTGATTAAGAGTGACAGTTCTTTCTCTCAAAATTGTTGTAAGTTTCACTAAAGTAGAGAGTGAATCTGTGTGATGTAATTTTGTACATTTGTTATCTTTTATAGAGAAATTTTTGGTGTGGTGTGGTGTGGTTTTTTGGTTTTTTTCTTTTATAAGGTTTTTCAATGTTAAATCTTGGTGTGTCTTTTTTTGGGATTTCTTTGTTGTGTATTATTGTTCATTTTATTGTTCCAGATTTGTCAAATTGGTGTGCTTTTAAAGGTGTGATTGTAATTATTAATCAGTCAATTCCCTTGTTATATCCCAATAAGTAGTATCAGAGCAAGATTTTTTTCTATAGTTTTTGGATTTGAGTATGAGCAATGACTAACAAAGTGATAAAGAAAGTAGAGAAGTTCAATTGATCAAACTTTGTAATCAATAAAATGCAAGTGAAAGAATTTTTGTATAAAAAAACATGTGTCTGCCATTACAAATCATCTCCAAAAAGCTTGAAAAGATGACAATGGGAGAATAGGATGTTTTGGATCAAATACACGCTAAGTTTGATCAGTCTTTCACTTATCTCATATATTGCGTTTAACATAGTGAATAAGAAAATTACGATGCATCTCATGGCAGTACTAACATGAATGAATGAGAAACCTTCAACGTCAAATAATTTTTTTATAATGAAAAGAATATTCAACACAAAGATAGCATAAGAGAGTTTAGCAGTTGAAAAATTGAACAATTTCAACACTGTGACTAGTCAATTGTGTTATGTGAGCATCAAACTCAATGATGAGGTTAAGGCACTATTAATTATGTTTTCATTTCTAAATAGTTGGGATAGAATCTTCATGATGGTGAGTAACACTTCAGGTAATATGAATTTGAACTTTGATAACATCATAGGGTAGTGTTGAATGAACAATTTCATAGAAAGGCATAGAGCGATGAAACTTCAAGTTCAACATTGAAAGTTGATAATAAATGAATGAATTTAGCCATGAATAAAAGCACATACAGATTTAAATTTAGAAGTGAAAAGTTCAGGTCATGCTGAGGAAATGACAAAGTTGAATACTAGAACTATAGGAAGAAAAATCATATTAAGAATGACTACAAAGCTCCAAAGAAGGACGATGGTGTCGACCATACAAAAATCTCTCTGCAAATGTCTTCACAAGAAAAATCCAATGTGAAACTCTGATGTTTTCCTAATCAGTATTGAAACTTGGATAGTAGATTCAGGTGCATACTTTCATGCATGCCCCAATAAAGTAGTATTTAAAAATTATACTCATAGTGATTTAGAGAAGATTTATTTGAGAGGTAATAAGACACACTCAAATGAAATAGTATAAAAGCTTATTGAAGTTATACATGCTCCAATTCTGAAGAGAATCTAATCTCTGTTAGTCATCTATAAAGTCAGGGTACATGACTACTTTCATAGGCAATTTATGAAAGGTGACTAGGGGCAATGGTGATGACTATGGGTCATATTGAATGCACTATTTACCTGATCAATGAGATGATAGAATCCATTGATGTGGTTGGAACCAAGATTGATGTAGCATGTTAGCACTATAGGCTTGGTCATAAGAGCAAGAAATATATGAAGTCTCTATTTTTAAAGAACAAGCTTCGGTTTTTGATAGACTTATATTTTCGATGACACACTCAAATGAACGTATTTAAGTGTCCGACATATGTTCACGTTGATGCAAGTTTGAGGAGTAAACTTAATTTGAAATTTATTAAGTGTACTCTCATTGAGTATGGCTTAGAAGAATTTGGGTACAAATTCTAAGACTAGAAGAATAAGAAGTTTATTATGAGCAGAGATGTTACTTTCAATAAAATAGAGATAAATAAGGATAGGAGTAAAAATTAAGAATGCCCATCAGTTACTTCTAAAGATTCCAAGTATGTTGAGATGGAAGATACTAGTGATCAAGAGGGGGAAGAAAGAAAAAGTGCTCAATCAGATGAAGCATAGAAAACTCCCCATTCATTTAGCACTAAAATCAAAAGGTCCAGTGGAATCCCGAGATTAGCACTAAGGATTATCCTTCTTTGTACTATTTATTATTAATAGGTAGTGGTGAACAAGAATGCTATGAAGCGGCCACTCGTTGAATATTTAAAGGAGTGGGGAGTTTATCTTGGATGTGAGATGCAATCTTTATGGTCAAATAAGATATGTAACGACATTGCAAAATGTCAAAGAGCATTGCACAACAAGTACGTATATAGGCACAACAAGTATGTATATAGGTTGAAAGAGAAGGTCGATGGTAACATACACTATAAGAAAGACTTATGAAAGAAATTCAACAAAAAAAATTAGTGGACTATACTGAGATCTTTTCTTATGTAGTGAAGATGACAATTGTTAGAGTTGTGTTGAGCTTAGTAGTAGAGAAAGTTCTATCTTTGAAGTAGGTGGATGTAAAGACAACATTTTTACATGGATATCTGGAAGAGGATTGTATATGGTGCAACTGCAGGGTTATGAAGTTCTATTGAAAGAAAATTTGTTCTCTAGGTTGTAGAAAAGCTTTTATGGCATAAAGTAGGCCTTATGACAGTGGTGCATTAGACTCGATAGGTTCATGTCAAATAGTTGATACATGAAATGCGAGACAGACAACTATTGCATCAAAAATTTTGATATTTGATATATCTTGCTCCTTTTGTATGTAATAACATGTTGTTGGCAAGGTCATTAATGGAGAAGATTAAAGACCAAGAGCAATTATCAAAGAAGTTTTAGATGAAGGATTTAGGTCTAACAAAGAAGATCCTTAGAATGAGAATCAGTAGAGACCAGAGTGCAAATACATCGAAATTGTGTTATATAGAGTATGTTGATAAATCCTATAAATATTTAACATGAGTAAGATAAAACCTGTTTGCACACTCTCATGTAGCCATTTTAAGCTATTTAAGGAATTATCACCTAAGTTTGAAGCAGATAAAGCACATATGAGAACTCCATATATTTTAACAATTGAGAGTCCAGTGTATGGTTTGATATGTACGAGACCAAATATTGCATATGTAGTAGGAGTGATTAGCATGTACATGAAAAATCTAGGCAAAACATCATTGGAAGGCAGTGAAGTGAAGAAGTCTCATGTATTTCAGAGGAACAAACAACATATGACTTTACTTTGAAAGTACATGGATCAGTTTACAAGGTTTATATATTCAGTTATGACAAAAGATATGGATGGAATAAAAAGTATAACATGGTATATCTTCACTTTGGAGAACATAATGATGAGTAGGGTTTTTAGGCTATAGAAGATTGTTGCTCTTTGAACTATGGAAGCCACACACATTGCTATCAATGAGGCAAGTAAGGAGATGATTTGAATATAGAGTTATATGATAGAATTAGACAAAGAGTGGAAGATTAGAAAGCTTCATAATGACAATATAAGTGATATTCATCTTGCTAAGAATGTCATTTTTCATGCCAACATAAAGCATATTCCATTGAGCTATTACTTTATTCACTCTCTTTTAGATGATGAGCAATTATTCTTGAAGAAGATACACACAACTCAAAATCTTACAAATATGTTGAGTAAGGTAGTGACTATCGAGAAATTGAAGCTATGCTTAGCTTTAGTTGTAATCAAGAAAGATTGAGGCTAGAGGCAAGCCAAACTGTTATACAAAATTATGAAGATAATACATGATGTTGGTACAAATTTGGAGAAGTGTTGGTGCTATCAACCTCCAAGAGAGAGATTGTTGACATGTGAAGCTAGCAAAAGCACCATAGCATAACCGACGCCTTAGCGCTGCAATACAAGGATTCCAACACAGCATACCAACGTCATACTAGTGCACTCACACTCATCCAAAAGTTTTCTAAGAAGGCTCAACCACTCTCGAATGGTGTACCTATGCCACAATTTATTTCGTTCTATGCTCTGGCATGGAGCAGTTGGTGTAATTATGCTGAGGAGCAGTGTGATTACTCCAGGATCAGATTTCTGTCGATTTAGTTTTCGAGTCTTCGATTCAGTGACAATGCTCTCTCTCTCTCTCTCCTTCTCTCTCTTTCTCCCTCCCTCTCTCTCTCTCTCTCTCTCTCTCTCTCTCTCTCTCTCTCTCCCCCCGTAGCCTTGTAAGGTTTTCTCTTGACTGTATATGGAAGTTGTGATGTGTTGAGAGAGCTGGATTTGGGCGTACGATTACTCTTGTGTGATCAAGAAAGGGAGGAGCGGAATTATTGTAAGTTCTAGTAGAGTAGAGAACGAATCCAAGTGGTGTAATTTATCTACATTTCTCCTCTTTCATAATGAAATTTTTTATGTGGTGTGACTAAAAAATTTTGTAATGTTCGTGTTTTTTACGTTAAATTTTGGTATGTTTTTTTTTTGGATTTTTCTGTTGTGCGCCTTAGTTCATTTTATGATTTCAAATTTCTCGATTTGGGGTATTTTACGTGGTGTGAATTTAAATTTTTAATTGTTCATAGATCAATTCGCAGGTTCCATACAAAAATAAAAGAAGCATTTTGATACGTAGCACATAAATTTTGTTTACTTGCATCCCCCACACCTACACTTCTATATTTACATGCATTCCTCTCAATTCCTTAACATCACATAAAAAATATCATCATTACCAACTTTTTTTAAAATAAAATAAACATTCTCACACATAGGCTTATAAAACCAAAGTTTCATAAATAAAAATATCAAACTTTAAGGGTTATATATATAAATACATATGAATTGCATTCAACATATCTAAATTTCTAAAAATAAAGTACCATTTCAAAAATTAAAAAAAAAAATGCAATCTTTAACATCAAAGTTCACAAAATTATATCACATTCATCTCAAAAATAAGATTTTAATATTTGCAAGACTAAATTCTTTTTCTTTAATTTTCTTTTATTCAAGATAAAAAAACTTCCATCCCCTCAAAGCGCGGAAAAAGAAACAAAACAAACGCGGTTTCTCAACGGCTATTTCTCCTAGCCGTTACATAACCCTAACCAAATGTTAAAGCTCTTACTGTCATTCCCATCCCCTGTTTCCTTCCCCCTTCCAACCCCCTTCCAACCCCCTTCCAATCTAATCTCCAATCTCTATGTCCTCCCCCATGGATCCGAACAAACTCCGGCGTGTCTTCCAACTATTCGACCTCGACGGCGATGGCCGGATCTCCAAAAAGGAGCTCAGCGAGTCCCTCCGCAGTCTCGGCATACGACGACCTAAAATCCTTGATCGACAACATAGATGAAAACAATGACGGTTGCGTCGACCTCGAAGAATTCGAGGACCTGTATCAGACCATCATGGAAGATATGCGCAGCGATAGAGACGAAGAAGAAGAGATGCGCGAGGCTTTCAAGGTGTTTGATCAGAATGGAGATGGTTTCATCACTGAGGATGAGCTGAGGTCTGTTCTCTGTTCGCTGGGGTTGAAACAGGGGAGGACGCCGGACGATTGCCGGAAAATGATTATGAAGGTTGACGAGGATGGAGATGGAAAGGTTAATTTTAAGGAGTTTAAGAAGATGATGAGAGGAGGAGCGTTTGCTGCCTTGACTTGATGAGTTTTATCTTTTTATTGTTTTTTTGGATCTCTAGAAATAAATTGTTAATACCTTTTTCAGAATTTTTCTGGTTTTTTTTTTCATGGATTCAAGATTTGAATAATTATGCGAACTTAATTTATTTTGAATTATTGTGTATGTTTTGGGATTTTCTTATTTATTACATATGATTTGTGCAATGGAAGGCTTGCATGCTTTCACCTCCAAACACATGCAGATTAGCATCATATACAGGTGAGTTTTCTGAATATTTGTCTTGTTAGGGGGACGTTTGTGATAAATTATATTTAAATGAAGATAATCTATAAGATATATATCAATTAAGTACCTAGCATTCATAATTGATTGTTTTGTGGCCTATTGGTAGAGTGACCTCTTTGAATGTCGTAAGTCACCTCAGGTCACGGGTTCTAATCTCTCCTTGTGTGTGTAGAGATTAGAGATAATTTTAGAATGTAGAATAAAATTATAAATGCATGTAAAAACAGCATTGTAAATGGATGAAGAAAAAATAAAATAAACATAATTTTAAATGGTAATTTTAGTGAATCAATAGAAATATTGAAAACTCCAGTGACGGATAAAATTAGAGAGAGTTGTTTTAGATGGTTTGGTCACAGTAAACGTTGATCATCTGATGATCCAATTAGGAGAGTAGATGTTTAGATTCGACTTATGTTAAGAAAAGGGAAGGGTAGACCTAGGAAAACTTGGGCTTATTATATAAAAAATGATCTTAATTTATTAGAACTAAATGAGAATATGACACTAAATATGACGTAATGAAGAAAATGATTCATGTAGCCGACCCCACGTAGTGGGATTAAGGCTTTGTTGTTGTTGTTGTTGTTGAATGGAAGTATTGCTTAAAATATTGAACAACATCATTATGAGCTCACAAATACACTTCAAATTATGCTTCATTGACAATTGATAGTTTGAATAAGAATGTGCTTTTGCTTATGAGAAAGCTTAACTCCCCTTTTAGAAATAGAAAGAGGGCATTCAATGATGAAAAGAAAAACAGATAAATTAAATTGTAAGATTAATATGAAAATTTTTAACAAATTAAAATTTTAATATATATATATATATATATATAACTCTATTTTTTTTTAAAAATATTAATCTATATATATTCTTAACTTATCAAATAAAATTTAAAAAATCCAATAAATTTATTGGAAAAAAATAAATTCAAAACACGAAGCTTATATAATATTTTCCACAAAAAATACAAATTTTAACATATTTATGTTAACTTTCAGAAGTTCTGAATGGATGGGATAATGCTCAATCTGGTAAGTGTGACATTATAAATAGAGCATAATTATTCTTAATCGGTCAAGTTTTAGGTGGTGAGGCACTGTTTCTCTAATGTTATTTTTCATAGGAAAAACTATTGTGTCTGGAGTTCGAACGTAGAGCTACGTCCGAACAACGGACGTGATACAACGGGAAGGAGCAGAGCTTGGACCTCAGATGTATTACGTCCATTGTCCTGACGCGGCTTGCATCCGGACTCCGGACGCGATATATTCTCTTTTCGTAGAAGAGTTCTCAAGCAATCTCACTTCGTTGTCAAGCACAATCAAATCACACAAATTTGTATGAGACATGCCAAGGATGCACTTGTTGGCCTCTCTCTATAAAAGTATTCAAAAGCAATTTTTGTTAGCATTGGCTGACTATTTCATGATTGATAGCAGTGAAAGCTTCAAAAAAGTTCACCGGCAAGACTACTATTAAAATCCAAAGTAGAAGATATTCATAAGATTGAATTACCTATTTTCATGATCATTGATAATGAAATTTAAAATCCCCTTTTATTAATCATCCAAAAAATAATAGGCAAATTGAGACTGCAATAAACATCTTTATAAAGTTGCTAAAGAGAAGGTTAGTTGCCTTGAAAAAACAGCACAATTTGTTATGCTGGCTTATTTGAAAATCCATTTGCCATTACTAGGGGAAAAAATATTACATCAGATGATGCGGAGTCCAATCTCAAACTGATATGTGGAAGGACGGGGACCCACCTACATAAAAAATAAAAAACAAACAACTAATTTGCGCAACCTGGCCCGGTCGATTCGTTACTTACCCTTGTCGATGCGTTATAAGAATTTTCCATCGCGTTATGTATATTCCTCCACATTACAGATCCTTACCCAGGTGGTATAAGATAATAGTTTCTGCGTATTTTATCCTTGTCATCGTGTTATAGAAATATTACGTCGCGTTATTCTGAATATTTTCCGTATTATTCATATGTAATTGGTGTGTAATTAAAGTGATTTTGAGTGTTATTGTTCTTTAAACAATGTCAACTCAAAATCACCTCCATAACACATGAATAGCACATCAATAGAAGTTTTCATCTTGTCATTGGATTGTATCACCTCACTAACACATCAATAACACATGAATAACACCAATAACACATTAAAAACAGTGACTTGAAGTGATTTTGAGATATTATTATTCTTGAAACAACAATATCAACTCAAAATCATATTCATAACACAAGAATATCACATCAATAGAAATTTTTGATCTTGTGATTGGATTTCCCCTCAATAACACATCAATAACACACCAATAGCATATTAAAAACAGTGAATGAGGTGATTTTAAGATATTATTTTTTAAACAACAATACTAACTCAAAATCACTTTCACAGCACATTAATAATACATCATTAAAAATTTTTATCTTGTCATTTCATTGAATAACTTCAATAACACATGAATAATGCGAAAAACATTCATAATACCGTGAGAGAATATCTCTATAATGCATCGGTCAAACTGGGTCGCACGTTTTCGTTCTTTTTTTTTATTTTTATGTAGATAGGTCCCGACCTTCCACGTGTCAGCTCAAGATTGGAATCCGCATGCAGTACTGCCTGTGAAATCCTGATGTAATATTTTCCCTTACTAAGAAGACATCTTTTCCTTTTAATTTGAGAAACAAACGCGTGTGAAAAACTCCATAAATTCATTTATACGATCGATCGTGATATGCATATAATATATATATATATAATATATATTGTTGCAATTGAAGTGTCACCTCAATATGACAAACCATCACTATTTTTTATTATAGCATATACTTAAAAAAAATGCAATAAAAAATTAATTTTACTTACAATTAGAAATAAATCATTATACAACAAATGAAGAAAAAAGAAACATTGCATTCCACCCAAACCAAATAATGAACTTAAATTAATAGCATATAAGTACAAGGAAACAAAAAAAAAAAATCACCAAATACCACATCAAACACCAATACTCAATTTCAGTTACTTTCAACACCAAATACCACATCAAACAAGGTTTTGAACAAAATACTTTTCAAAATTGGAGGACCATCAAAATCACCATATTCATGGATAAAAAAAGTCAGATTAACCATTACATCAGGTCCCTGACTTGTTACATTGTTCTGCAGGTACATCTGATTCCAAGGCACAATGAGGCACAATGAGATCATGAGAACAGTAGAGAGAAATCAGTCCTAACTGTAAAAACTTCAAATTCAAAGAAAATAACAGGGCAAATTTAACAGCAAATAGGTTTTAACTTTAGAAAAAGGTAAATTCCATTTCATATCACTATCAGAAAGTATTCAATCAAAGAATCATATAAGCACCTTGCAACCATCCACACTTATTGTAATGCATGCTATTTAATGGATAACTTGTTATAAGAAAATAGCAAAGATTTGCTTCCAAAATACCACGAAGTATGGTCGAAGAAAAAGCAGGAGTTTCACTGAAATTTGCTTCCAAAAAAACCAGTTCCGGCAGGCACTGTAATGGGCCGAATGACGGGGACAGAAGGCGAGAATGGAATAGGACTGGGTAAGACGAATGGCTGCACCGGAGCGGCAGTTGCGAGGGGTGGCGTCATGCAGAATTGCAAGGACTGGGCCTGAGTACCTGAACATAAATGATGTTTCAATTGACAGTCAGGCTTTATGTTGTCAATATAGTGAAATAATTGGAAGACTTACATGCATACCACTCAATTCTTATGTATTTAAATATCTAACACCTAATCTTCAATTTTTACATACCTTCCCAATGCATGAAAAGGTGTTGGTATTTTTTATGTGATATGAAGGATTTCGGTGGTAAAAATATAAAAATTAAAGTTCAGGTGTTAAGACGTGTAAATACATAAGAGTTGGGTGGTATGTATGTAAATGCCCTGAAATAATTTCTTTAATGGTAGAAGAGCTTTGCATCAAATACCTTGGAGTTTTGGCAGATTTGCTTGACAAGGGGTTAACACAGGGAATCCTTGTGATAGAACGGCGGCTCCATGCGTTGGATCCTGAGACAAATGGAGTTAAGTGATGAGTTAAGAAACATGAATGAGCCAAGAAAAAAAGGAAAAGAAAAAAGAAACGTGAAAAATGAATGATGATCCGGTAATACCAAAAATTGAAAAATCAGGTAAAATTTTGATAATGGTAAAATGTACTCAAATTTTGCATCGCTCTAATTTTAACCGAATCAATTTTGTAAAATCCTTCGCATCAAATCAATCAATTCGATATAAAAAACTACATATTAATTATGAATATGATGGGAGATATTAAAATAATAAAATATTGAGTTAATCAAACTAATTAACCCTAGGCTTGCACCCTCACTGTAGCCACCGACCTTCGTGATTCTCAGTGGTAGGATGAAATTGAATAGATGGTGTCTTGGATCCTAAATTGGTGAGTAGGAATCCCTCTCTTATGATATTTCATACATTCATTCCCTTTCTATGTTTCCATTCTGACGTATGACCCGAATCAGTGCACTTTTTTATTTCCGGTAGCTGTAACAGAGACGAGCTTGTGCCGGAAGCAAAAAACTTGGTTTGTGAGCTTTTGTAAGGGCTTTTAGATCGAAATCAACAAAAAAAAATTGACGAAGGGTGATAGAAGAAAGAGAAAAGAAGAAAAGACAGTCTCGAAGAATGGTTGGATATATAGAGAGAAGTTTGTTTGAGGTAAGAATTCAGTTTTGATTTTTGATTAAATCACGAAATAAGCCAAGATTTCATGAAATTCTAAGATGTCTACAATTTTCAGGTTATTTACACTAGGAAAAACTCGTCATAGGATTATTATGTCAATTCAGGTGAAATGATCTTCTGTTAACTTAAGAAAAATAATTCTCTGTAGATTTTCACATGTTTCCATGTTTGACAATTTGCATTTAGAATTTCTTGCATATTGTGGATGCATACCTGCACTAACTGTATGAATGCAAATTGATTGCTCCTTACATATATGTGATTTTACCATACTATGAATCTGATTAATATGTTTATGAAATTATCGCTTGTAGGTATTCATTTGTTATGATTTATGAATATGTTATATGAAATGTCCACGATGAATGCTTCTACAGAATTTTTATTTTTAAAATATTTCACAAATATTGTTATATATAAGTTATTGCATGAATATTTGCAAGTATGAATGATAGGGAACGGTAGGATTCCCGACTCTGGTATTTAGGCGGTAATGAAACACCAGAAACTGTTAGAATTAAATTGTGACAGAACGTAGGGAACTGTTGGTACTAGAGGTTTATTGATAACAGTTATGTTGAGAGTCTCAACCTTTATCAATAGTTAATATAATCTTCAAGCTGAGTGACAACCTAATAACATGACATGATATGAAAATAATTCAGACTTATACAATTACAAGTAACATTGCTACGATTGGATTGATGATTATTATGAATAGGCTTATGACCGTACATGAATGAATGAATTATATATGTTATACAGCAGTCATGATTTCTTTCATTACGTGTTTTCTTTTGCATGCTCCATACAATTCTAACATACGGCTTCTGTGTGGATATCTACGGTTACATATGAGCATACACATTGTTTCTTTTTCATCTATAAAATCTTATTTTAGTCTTGATTATTTCATTGAGCTTGTTATTTCTCACTCTACGTTATTGTCTTTCACAAATGAGTAAAGAGCACCACGGCGAGTAGCCAGGTGTGGCTATATAACTTTTGCATTTAATAATTTTAGAAGCTTATACAAACTTTTTAGATATGTATTTTATTATTTTGGATTTAGCATCTCTGTGTATATAAATATTTTGATGACATTTTTTACGCTTCTGAATATATATGAATGTGAATGAAATGTAATGTATCAAGTATGTTTGTGACGATTTAATTAGACTAATTCATCACTTACTGGGTTCAGATTCTATAATTCATGACAAGTGCTGGTGAGAATTTAGTATGATTAAATCGTCTGTCTTTGTAGCATCTCAGCTAACTCTTAAAGGGGGGTCAGTTAAGGTGTGACAAAAAATGGTATCAGAGCAAGGTTATTTGATAAAAAGAATGCTAAAATCATATTGGATCTATAAGAAGTAAGAATAAGATCAATTATGAATATATTTATATAGAGTTATAGGTTGATAGATCTTAGGTGAGTAACCCATAAGACTTAAGGTGTCATGTGTGCATAATATAACTATAATATGATAAATTGCATTAAAATAATTTATTTTGTCAATTCATATGAATATGTCTGAAGAGAAATTTAGAAAGTAATGAAGGTCAAACTCGGTCAATTACAAAGCAAGAAATATGAGTTGAAAATGTCTTGAACAAAGATGATACTCATAATAGAGCAAATGAGGAAGCTAGAGCCACTAAGTTGCAGGACATTGTTCAGTTGATATTGCAAGTGGTTGACAAAATGGTTGCTATTAAAAGTTCATCCACTAGCACATGAACCATAACTGAATTTAAAACAATGAAGATGGCTACAACAAATCAAATATTATGGTTTGGATATACAGTATTGTCCTAGCAGAGAAAATGTAGCGTTGATGCTTTGAGTCGAAATCTACAAATAGTGTGAGCTGGATTATTACTCGGGAGCTAGAATTAATTAAAGAAATTGATGCATTTGCAGTTAAAAATCAGAAGACCAGGAAATATTGAGTACTTGTATTAGTTGGCATTAAAACAACTTTGATAGATGAAATCAAGGCATCTCTGAAAGTTAATAGTTAAATGACTTCAATCAAGAAGGTTGAATGTAACTGGTCGGATGTAACTATTAATGAAGATAGTGTAATCAGAAACAAGTTACAATTATGAGTATGTGTTGATTCAGATTTGAGAAAGGAACTCTCACATGAAGCTCATCATTCAAGGTACATGATTCATCTAGACAGGACTAAAATGTACAATGATTTGAAATTAATATTTTGGTGACTATGTTTGAAGGATATTGCAAGATATGTGTCTAAATGTCAAGCTTGTTAAATTATAAAAGCTGAGCATCAGAGACCCGATAGATTGCTACAATCATTGCTTATACCTGAATGAAAATGGGAAAGAAATTACTATGGATTTTGTTATGGGATTTCCTCGATCCATGCAAGGCATCACAATATTTGGGTCATTATTAACAGGTTAATAAAATTAACTCATCTCTTGCAAATCAGATAGACATATTCAATTAAAACTTAATCGAATTATATGTTAAAATAATTATCAAATTGAAAAAGTTATTGTTTCTGATAAAAGTGAAAGATTCACATTCAAGTAGTAGAAGGCATTCAACAATGCAGGGCATGCATTTGCACTTTAGCACAACATTCCACCCACAAACCGGCAGACAATCAGAAATGACAATTCAGGTAGTGGAACCTTCGTTGGGGCTGTATTCTTGACTTTAGAGGCAACATTCTTGACTTTAGAGGTGGTTGGGAAGATCACATTCCGATGAACGAGTTCGCATATAATAACAGCTATCATTCCAGTATCAAAATGGCTCCTTATGAAACATTATATAACAGGAAATACAAAAAACTTCAATAATCTAGGTTGAAGTAGAAGAACATCAAAAATGAGGTTGAGTTTGTTGATGAAGTCACGACAAAAATCAAGCTAGTCAGATACAAATTGAAGGTTGGCTCATGATCGACAATAGAAATATTTTATAACCCAGAACACAAAAATAGTAGAATTTCAAATTGGTCAATTTGTATATATAAAATTCAGGCAAATGAAAGATACAGCCAGATTTGGTCAAGGAAGCAAGTTGATTCCAGTTACATCGAGTTATTTTAAAATTATAGAAAGGATTGGTCCTATTTCTTATAAATTAGTGTTGCATGTTGATATGAAAGATATTCATGAAGTGTTTCGTATCTCAAAGTTGAGAAAATAGGTTTTAAATTTAGACCAGATGATTTCACAAAAAGACATTGAAGTACAGAAAAATTTAACTTATATTGAAGAGCTTGAGAAAATTTTAGAAACTAGTGTTAAGAAATTGAGAAACAAACAAATTTTTTTATCTAAATAAAATGAAAACACAAGCCTAAAAAAGAAGCCACATAGAAAAAAGAAGAATAAATTCAATAGAAATATCATTCTCTTCAAGTTATAAATTTCGATGACATTTTTATGAGGGGAGAGCAATAATACTCAAAATTTGAGAAACCGCATGAAATTTCGGCAATTGCAAAATATACCTCAAATATCTCATCACTCAGATTTCAATCAAATTAATTTTATAAAATTCTAAGCATCAAATCAATCAATTCGATATATCATACTAAATATTAAATATGAATATATTGAGAGATATTACAATAACAAGATATTGAGTTAATTAAACTAATTAACCATTAATTATATCCTTAATCCCGCATCCTCACTGTAATCATTGCCCATCCTTCGTAATTCTCAGTCGTACGATGAAATAAGGGAGGGGGGGTAAATAATGCTTAGGGACCTCACAAATTCCCATTCCTCCCGTGAAGCTCCTGCAATTGATCCTCGTAGCAGACGCAACACACGATAGAGAGCCGCAGGCTGCGCTTCTGGCCTCCAACGTGAAATTGGTGAGTAGAAATCCCTTTTCTATGATATGCCAGACATTTATTTTCTTTATTTTTCCATTTTGACGTGTGCCACAAATCGGTGCACTTTTTCATTTCAGGTAGCTATAGTAGACACGAACTTGTGTCGGAAGCAACGGGCTTGGTTTGTGGGCTTCCGTGAGTGCTTTTAACATGAAATCAACAAAGAAAAGAGACGATTAATGTAATAAAAGGAAGGAGGAAGGAGGAAGGAGGAAGGAGGAAGGAGGAATAAGAAACCTCAGAGAATAGCTGGTTATGCAGAAAGCTCGTTTGAGGTAAGAATTCGTAAATGAATTTTGTTTTTTAATTAAATCACGAAATAAGTCAAGATGACTACAATTTTCAGGTTGTTTGCTCTAGGCCGCAAGCTCAAGACAAGCTTGGGGAAACTCACCATAGGACTGCTCT